CCTAATGGGCTAATCAATCTCCTTTTGCGGTTTGTTCCCTTCATCTTTGACGAATCTAAAGTCTTAGCAAGTTGCTTCACTGTAAGCCAGCTGAAAAACCCAACGTTCACAGTTCTTATTTGTATGATACATTTTCTGTCCAACTACATATAAGTTATCCGAGTATACAAGAAATGGTTTAAAGGCGGTTGGTTAGCGACTAAATTATCCTCATTCTCTTTGTTCTGTGCATATAACTGCAACCAACTTACTGCTCTAATTAGATACAATAATTGACGACATTGAAACAATAAAATCTACACATTTCTAATGCTGACCGGGAATATAGTCATATACTGATGCTAGTTACTATTAATTAGCATATTCCAATTAAGCTTTCGGCTTATTGGTTCGTTTCATTCAGTCTAATTATTATTTATTAGGTGGTTTGTTAATTACCCTCGACTATTATTTCCTTAATTCTGCACTTCTATGCCAACTATTGAAGAGACAAGCTTCTACTATGATCTGCCAAAAAGACAATCTAAACCAAAAGTTTATAATGTGCTGTCATACGCAGACCATTATACTGTTGTTTGAATAGAAGTTATCCCATATAATAATGCGGTGTGAACTGCTTAGAATACTGAGGAATGCTTGAGCAATTTAACAGTAACGTCACAGATTTTAATCTAGAGAATTCTAGTTTCCGTTAAATGTTGCAAAATTGATGAGAAAGAGACCATCTACTTTTCAGTATACCTTTTTATCCAAACATGGAATTACCAAAAGCAGGTTTATGGTTTTCCAGCATAAAATGAATTCAAATGTTAGCTTTGTTGGAATCCTTGGCTGATTGTTAGCACATTGTTGTTCAAACACTGAGTTTTAGATAACTTTGCTGGCTAATGTTGAGGGTAGTCGTCACATTTAGTGTCTGTCTGGACTAGACCCAAGTAGTAATGGCTTTTTGTAAAAATTAGTCTCAGATGGTTCATTTTATGTACGTTTTGAGATTGAATAGAGAGCCATCTTTCATCGGTTACTTTAATTAACATTGATTTCCTAAATTTTCTGTAGGAATTCACGAAGAATTTTACTAGCCAGGTCTGGGTTTGATCTGACAGTACTGGACTTCACAGAAAAGGGATTTCTAGACAGCACATTACTTAGAATTTGATTTTTCGAAATAAATCATGTGTCCAGTACTAAGTACCAAAAAGTCTTCTGCAGGATTCTTCTTCGCAAACTAACTAAATAATGGAATACTTTATTCTAAACTAATCGACGTAATACGTTTGATTTTGTGTTCTCTGAATTTTTTTTCGTCGTCCGAACAGAGGAATTTAACCTAGCTATCAATATTACAAACTTGTAAGGAAATACCTTTTGTTCTGTTGCACTAAATAGGTAATCTGGACTTGCAAGCGTTATGAATTCATCTAAGTTTAGGTTTAATCAGAAGCTCACGTTTATATTAAGCATATACTTGTATTACACTTTTCATAAACCCTAGATATTGAAAACATGCAATTTGTTGACCTAAATATAAGTTGTCTCCACAATCAGTCATCTAGTTAGAAGTTGAAGGGACAGCCGATTTATTAGATCAGAATAACCACCAAAGAGTTAATCTAGTCAGTTGTTCATCAACAGTTGTAACTACTGCCTCCCATCTCAGTCAGTGTAAGTAACAAATGAAACAAGTGTATAAACATTCAGTCGTTCGCAGGTTCAGTTCAAATTGAGTAACTGAAATAATATAAAAAGACTAGTGGAATATCAACAATTGCGAAGAGATTGGACTGGATTATACAGTACCTTTGAAGTATTTTAGAAACCTCCAAAAAGGAAGAAATTTTCTTTTATGGCTAGTTTACACTACAATTATTGAGGTCGGTAATAATAATTAGCAAGCTATGGGTTTCTTATCACAAGCGTTTTCAACCATTCACAATGAATTAGGTATTGTGTATTTCAGAAATTTAAGTACAGAACTTCAGTAGTATGACAGTGTGATACGTTGTTACATAAGTATTACTTACTTGATTTCTTACAGGATAGAATGTATTGTTCATAGTCGTATCACGGTAGTGGCTAAACTTCCAATGTATATCCTTCAAATGTTATTTTTGTGATTTCAGTGGTAATAGGATTCTCTTTATATTTGATATGAATGTTGAGTCATTTTTGCCTCAGTTATTGAAAATTGACTTGATAAACAAAGACTTAGTAATTATTCTCTTCTTCTACCTAACTACTAACCCTTCAAATTGACGCACTGACCCTTCTTCTATTGTTCGTTTGAGCGTCATTTCATGTACTGCAATAGGGGATTTCTTTCGAAAGACACAAGTTACCTAGGTCTATCGTCCTAAATTTAGCTACATTTCTATGTTGTGTCAACTTATCTGACCTCAACTGGCTCGTTTGGACTACATACTCAACTTAAAAATCATTTCATCTTATTTATCACACTACATAATTTTTTCAACTCAGTAGATGTAATCGCTATGCCAGCAGAAATTTCCCCTAATTGAGTTCATAATTTTAAATCCTGCCCCGGTTCGTATCCTGTGTATAGGGTATTTTCGTCCAAAATTGCAAATAAAAAAGATATTTTTATGTACATACAGAAGCAAGGAAACTGATACATATACACTGATGTAGTCTAATGGATCAACATATTCTCTGCGTACTGCAGAATGAGTTTCTGACAGTAGAATGTGATTCTAAGCGGCAACAGAGAGCTAAGCTAATTGAGCGTATTTAGTTCCTTTTGATTAGTTCTTCAGACTTCGGTCTAAAGTGCCACCAAACTTCTCGAAAGAAGTAAGGCTAACACATCTTAGCATAGCTAAAGCATTAGGGATTCAAAAAATCAAACCATCTTAATGCATTTGAAAAAAAGTATGTACAAAGCTTTTCTTTGCCATGGCAGTCGTAAATTATCAATCACTCTAAGCAGCCTACACATGATGTAGCTAGTTTTATTTTGTAACCATTTTGTTCACTTACCTGTCACGCCACTTTCCGTTGTGGTGTGATTCATTCTGATCTTTGACTAGAAATCACCTAGGAATGTTTTATCCTTTTCCTTTTACATTTCCAAACTTAGGATCAACTGTTATCTCATAGGTTACTGTAATGACAATGCAAACACGACTGAATCTGTTTTCAGGCTAATAAAAATCCTTGACTCCATTTACCTTGAATCTAGTAGTTGAACATTGTTATTCAGACAATTTTAGCGCTAATTTTAAAAACTGAAAGTTACGTGACTGAAACGCTTCTGTAATCTATAAATAATACACTTTATTCTTTATACTAGGATATATAACACTAAGCAGTGTGGATAGGGTTAATTGCTTTCACACTTAAAGATGACAGCTTTGTAGGTTTGCCTGTATCTCTGCAGTGTAGATGTGCACGCAGATGGATAACTACACAAACACAGACATATTTTATAATAAACAGGGAAAAAATCGTGTTATTGCTGCTCTCTTTAGAAATACTCCTTTATGTATCAGGGAATGATAACCTTCTCCCTGTTCCTAACTTTTTATGGGAAAATTGCGTGCAAAAGGAAAATTCCTGTGTTTCTTCAAAGTAAAGCAGATATTAGCAAAAAGTCAATGGAAATTAGGAAAGTATATAGCAAAGAAGCGGAATAACCAGAATAACCAAACAATTTAATCTGTCTAATTATCTTGAAGTCAACAGGAATGGTCGAGGATGAAGCCTAGCAAAAAAGAAACAACGGAAGGTTTAGCAGTTGATTTAAGCCGAATAAAGAAGCGATATGGTGGTTCAGGATTGCGAAATTGATTACCAGAACATTTATGAAACTATTTCTCAACTAATAACGACCAGGAGAACAGATAGTATCAGTCCACTTCACCTTCAGTCATCACCCTGAATTAAGTGAATGACTTCACCTAAGTTTTTTATTAACAGAGGAGTGAAGGCAGCCTAGGAAGAACATGGGTTGTGATTTGTATCCAGCCTCCGTTAGGATGAATCATAAAAGCTGAACTTAGTCAAAAGTATATCCAAGACTGTTAACACTGGTTGGTTCCATTATTGGATTTCCATGGCCACCGAAGTTGAAATCACAGACTAGTGTTAAATGTTTTCAAGCACCCAGCAGTATGCTACCTTACAAAACAATTTTATATCGATGAAAGCAATCGGCACAAAGCCCTGTAACTAAACTTTGCACCAAGTGTTTAAGCTGAAGATTCTACCACTTTGTTAGTCAGTTGGCCATCACCCTCTAGTTGGATTAATTTGGGTTCTTTGATTCATCTAGTCTGAATCTAAGTGCTGATCGAATTTCGTTGATCATTTTAAGATGTGGGGATTCTGGACCGCAAAGCTCAGTGGTATTGTCTATGATGAAACACTGGGTGACGCAGGTTAAATTCTTAGGCGAGACATCAGTTCCGCCAAGGTTGCAAATACACTTTGCTGATAAGTGCCAAAAAGCACGAAAACTGCCTACTGACTTCATCCAACTAGCATCCATCGAAATGGTGAGTCTACTCGCCTTGTGGTCACATTAAAGAAGTGTCGATGCCATTCAACCAGCAGGTAGGACTAGACTACATGAAGTTGGTTACAGTTCAGTAACTAATCAATGTTTCTGTAATCATATTTTGACAGAACGATTTGTAACCAAATATTGGCTTTGATCTAGAGCAAGTGCGAAGTTTAAGACCACGTTATGTATAAACTGGATTACAAAAAGGAACTTTCGAAAGCCCCTTTTGATTATGTAGTACTGGTCTTTTTGAAACTGCATTTATTAAATCAGATAATTTACAAACAATGCTTAAGTGGTGTTTCTTTTGAGAGTATTTTCAGCATTACAATGAAGTCTTCGATGAATCCAGATCAAGGTAGCCTACATTATTAAAAGCACTATTAATCTACGAAATTACTACTTTTGTAATAGAGTTTCTATGCAGTAACTGGTGTGAACTATGTTATTTCTCTTCTTATTATGTTTGCACTACTAGTGCTGATGAACGTTTGGAAGAACGACGTGAATGTGCTGTTCGAGTTGATCATAATGGTGTTGTGGAATGGCACCCAATGGCAATTTACAAAAGTACATGTCCAGTCAAGATTAAATACTTTCCTTATGATAAGCAGGTCTGTTATCTTCGATTCGGCCCGTGGACATTTGATAGGTAAGTGATTATTTGTGTGATATTTAAAAGTGACTGGAAAAAATTAGTGTTCATCGTTTTCATGAGCATAATGATAATTGATTTTGTTGTAAAGGTTCACCTTGAAAAGTTCAGTCATTCTTAAGTAGAAACGATGCGCTTTGATTATAGTCATCTGCAACATTCTATATGATATTTTAAAAGTGAGCCTAAAATAACAGTTTACGACTTATATTTCTTTTTTTCATGATTATCTGTCCGGCTGATGCTGTAATATCTTCTACTTGAGCAACTAGTATACAAACGAACAAAATTCTTTCTAAATACCTCTGAAAACGACTCTTTTCTTCTCTGTATCATTTACCTGAATGTAGCGCTTTGAATTTCAGCTTAAAAAAGTCTTTAAGCGTTAGTTTGCCAGATATACATTCATACCTTTATGAATTTACTTTTAAACAGCCTTCTCACAATCAAAAAGACGTTTATAAATTGACTGCGAACGGTTCTCTACGGAAAATGTTCAAACTTCTTGTAGTGTTAGGTGCTAATGTTTGTGGCATAACTTAAGCTTATTGACAACTTTATAGTTGAATACATCTAGTGAATATGGGATGCTATTCCTACCGCTATCGACAATCGAAATCTTCAGGTTGTCACCGCGTTTCTTAAAATATCCATTCGATCTTTCCAGTGAGTACGATTTCGAACCATTCGTAATCTCTTATCTAGGCCTAAACATTTTGCAAGTGCATTTGAATATGTCTATTAGACACTTATTTGTGGCAAATAAAAATTGTAAACCATAACTGAGTACTTCTGTTATTGAGCCTAATGGATTTTCTACATGTTGGTAATGATATTTCTTTAAATTTAAATAAGATATTATTACATATCATACCATCTTATAAAATCTTTCTGAAGAAGCGAGAAAAGCTAGTTAGGAATGTGATATGAATTTGAGGATAACTATCAAACTTATTTGTAATTTATTTTTAAACTAACATTACTCAATTTATTATCATGTTATAAGTAACAAAATCAACCATTTTCGATCAATAATTATATGTCCTGCTGATATAATCTTTAGTTTATGCTCAGTCCTCTACTTAGTTGTGATATAAATGTCGACTGACGTGAGTTCATAAATTAAAATATCCACATATGCGGAATATGCAGCAAAATACTGAAACTTGTAAATCTAAATGAAAAGATAAATGGGAAATTGGTTAGATTGCCACATATTGAAGTGAAAATCCAGTATATTTTATATCGAAACTATTTGGCATAAAATAGGACTTCATAGTTTACTATGTATTTTACAAAAAGTTACCATTGTTTTGTAAACCTTATAAATCTGGTCCCCTTTAGTAATCTGAGCAGAGCAAATTTAATGGAATACAATATACATTGTAGCATTCTCTTCAGCTTATAAAGTGCTGAATACCCTAAATGAAATAGATACAAATACGTTTCATGACATGTGGAACTGTTTTTGCTTATTCACTTATAATGGTCAAATCAGTTTCATTTGGAGAGCAGACAGAAGAATAATCACTTGACGAGTCAATAAATATATACTGAGAAACCGACGTCTGAAAAGACCCATTAGTAGCAACACCTCAATGTCTTATCCGTTTCTCTGGATGAGACATCACACTGACATAGAAAATGCCTTCAATATAATAAATAAGCAGTTTGATTTCACCATGTATTGCTTCTTAGAAAACAGCTAAAGCATAGTCTTAAAACCTCACCTGCGTACTTGCAGCCTTCTTGATTAGGAACCATTAGGTATTCATTATCTCTCACACAAGTCACTCGTTTGATGTCTAAGTAATGTCTAAAACTTATTGGTTTTAACTCAGTTTCACCAAACTACTACTAAGCATTTATGATTCTCTTATAATTAACGTGCGTATATGACTTCTTGTCGAATTCTAAAACTGTCACATACGATCACTCAAAGTTTAACTGCATTCTTCCAACCATACATTTTCAAGTTTTCCTACTGTCCTTTACGAAACTGAAAATTTCAAACTTTGTAGTTTACTTTCCAATATAGTTTGTTACGAGTGGAAGATAATCCAAAGAAGTTTGGTATAAGCTGTGAGATTAGTTCTTGTTGTTCCACTTAAGTTAAAATTAATATTTTTCGGCAACTTTGATCGTCGTTTCATGGGGTTACTGGACCCATGTACTGAACTATTTTTATGATCTTGGGACATGTATCTGATAAATTTGTTAGACGCTTCATAGTGATACAGTACTGTTTGCCATTAGACTTTCCGGGCGAAATTCCATTCTTATAGTCTTATGAAGGTGAACACATGAATTTCTCGTTGGGTATGTATGACTCAGTTACTTTCCATTCTTTGATTTTAACAGGAGTACTATTTTACAAATATATGGGACTGGCGTCCAATCATTCTTATCACATGTGTTTGGCTTTGATTCATTGAACAGAGATTCAGTGTTCTATTTAAGCAACTGCAAAAGTGTAATTTAACAGTTTGTGCTGGAACGAGTTACAGTTAGTTTGTGTTACTTTTTTAGGAAGGTGATCAATAAAATAAAAATATAGTCTCACTTTAATTTTTGACCATTAGTAGCGAACCTTCACAAGATTCCTTTCTTCATGGTTTGTTTGACCAGAGTGGTTGATAATATGATTTCTCTCTCAACTAAATCATAAATTCTTGAAATACTACAGAAAACTCTACACTATAGGTCATCAGATTCACCGTGTCTTGTCTGAAGTATTAGATTTCTATGACAACGAAACCATCAGTTTTGATGATTATTGGCGATGACAGTCACAACAATAACGGTGAGAAAACTACTCAGGAGTTTTGAATCTGAATAACGATATGCATTCCCACACTTGCACAAAAACTCATATACTCTATATTTTGCACGACTGACCACGTTGGTTGAAAAAAACTTCAACTTATTATACAGGAACTTTATGTTAATGAAATTATATCAGCAATAATTACAGAACAACTAAGAAATAACTGGACAAGTTACTTCTGGCATTTTTTTTCGTATAAACCTTAGACATAACAATAAAGTATCAAAAAACAAATTTAGGAAAAAAGTATTTTGTCTTATTCCTAAAGAACAAGCATAGTTAGGAGGTGGTTTTCATGATGAATTGCTTTCACTTAGTAGGTTATGAAAGCGTTTCATCCTATTTGTTAATCTTAAAACGGACAAACCTGCACACTAGTGAGTGGTGCTATTGTCTTTGTGACTCGATTGAAACTCTAAAGGACTATCCTGTATGATCGTTGAAATAGGGGAGTCATTAAGCAAAGACTTACAAAGGTTTTGATGTACAAATAGATTTTGGTAGTCTAATTTTTGATCATTCGTAAACCAAGAGGCTAGGTAAACTGGAGGCGCTAAAAGAAAAATAGTGTAGGATTTAAGAGAATTCGTATCGTGGTAATAAAATCTGTAACTTTTGTTCTTACTGAAGGCATCCAAACGTGGCTCATAGTGTATATACAAAAAATTATGCGAAATAAGTTCTATCTAGAAGAAACTCATTTATTCAAGTTTCTTGTTCTCTGTGACTCATATATACATATAGGTATCACCGCTAGCCTTATACAAACAAGTTGGTATTTATTAAGGAGTGACATCAGTTGAAGGAACACTCGAAATCTGGAGGCATTGAAGAGCCTTCTAGTCCTAGTATAGGACTTCTCAGCAGTGCGAACCTATGAACTTGCGAAAGATTGAACCCATATCCATAATATTATTTGACATATAAGCAAAACTTCATTGAGTATTTACGGATGTAGATGGCTGATAATCCTCGCTATGTGTCTAGTAATAAAACTATACACCTGGAAATGAAAATAGTGAGGTCAAATTAGGCGTATACTGTCATTACTCATGCAGGTTTACATTTTCAAAAAAAAACTAGATAGGTCTTTCAGTAACCGAAAGTCACAACTGAGCACCAAGTACGTACATACAAAGCACTCTTTAGGCTTCAGAACATATTTGAACCTAGGAATTTATGAATCATACCTCAGTCATGAGATGGTTGTGATTCGTTATCAAGACGAGTGAATTCAACTTAATCGGAAAGGAAGGTGTATGTGAACTGAATAGCTCAGTGATAACGTCTTGAAATGCAGCGTCAGGTTCGAACCGCTGCAGAATATCGTTTCGAAGTTGCAGACATGCCTTACTTAAGAATGCCTACAAGTAAAAAACCTAGGTACAGGGCTTCCTGCTTACTGTCTCCATCCAACCAACATCTATCATAGTGTATCGCGAGGGTTAGCCTTCAGCCTAGCGGAAACACTACAAAATGACAGATAGAATTCAGTCAACACTTAGGACTACAATACAAGATGTTGGTCACACTCCAGTGACCAATCAAGTGCCAAATCGATATCATCTTCTGGTGCTGTATTGCAAGTAGACAAAAGGCAAAAAATGTTGAATACTTGGTTTCATCATATTAGCTGTGGACCAGCATGTCAACCTCTGGACTTTATATTCATTTCAACTTTCACATAAACCGTCAATTTAAATTCACTTCTTTGTATTCATAAATAAATCTTTCGTTACACACTCAATAAGATTATATGTAAATTGTTTCACTAACATTTCTAGAAGTTTAAATAAGATAGGAACAAGCTTAACATCGTAGAACTACAAACAACTACCTGGCCTTTGATTTGTTGTAAAGAGAAATTTGTTTTGTCAGCAATATGTCATCACACTTCATCATTTATACCTGCGTTCGATTGTGAATCCTTATCAAAAAGATGGAGTGGAAGACACTTAAATGAAGGATCATTGGACACACAAGTAGTGTAATATTGTCTGATGTTTTGGCAATAGTAAAATGTAGATTAAATCTGTAAGATTGACACCAAGCTCAGCTAAAAGACATTGTGGAGCACTTTATTTGATGTCACATAGCTGGGTTAGATTTTTGTAGAACCTAGATCTTAAGTCAGTTCCTGTATTATGCTATGAGCAAGACATATCTGCGA